GGCCACTGCAAAGGAGAAGCTGTGCTCTGTTGAAACGCAGAGCAGCTCTCAGGCTCTCTTTGCATGCAGCAACCAGCCAGCCCGAAGGAGCTTTGCTGCCAGGGAGAGCTCAGAGCAGAGTCTAAAAGGCTGTTTTCTCCCCATCTGGCAGCTCCTGAGCTGGGGGGCTGGAGCACGAGCAGCAGCAGGACCTCTCTCCTATCAATTTGTAAAACCCAGAACTCCCATGTCCAGCAGAGAGACAAACATCTCTGCAACCCTCCTAGCCCTGCTGTGGACAACAACTGCCCTCCTGGAGCTTCACAACACCAAAGGTTGGAATAAAGGCTGGACCAGCATCCCTTGGCTGGGAGCTGCAGCTAAACTGAGCTTGCCTTAAGAGACCATGCAATCTGTTGCAGGCTTTCCTCCATGACTGTGCAAAACCAACTGCCAGAGCCCTTGGGGAGCTTGCCCACCGAGGGAAGGGACACAGCTGTGACTTCAGGAGAGCCCGAGTTAGGATCTGGCTCACCTGGTTAGCTCCAGCTCTTCTGGAAAGTTCTCAGGCAGCCGGTTCCAGGGACCCCCAGGACAGCTCCACTCCCTCGCTGGTAAAAGGGAAGGCTTCTGCTGGCCTCGGCTGGTGGTTTGGGGCTCTTCACCACACACATCTGGCCAGCACCGAGCCCAAGAGCAGCTCGTGCCCCTGCCCAGTGCTGCCGTGACGAATGTGACCCGAGAGGCGTCAGGGCGGTGGCGGTGCGGCCGCGGGCAGCGCGGCGCGGCAGGCAGGGTTTGCCGGGTCAGCTGTCCTGGCACGCTGTGAATCACCTACTGCCTTTGCTTTTATTGTTGATGGCCGGGGTGGGAAATGCAATTGAGACACCTTAATGAAAAGCTCACAAAGTTGGGTTTGGAGGGAGGGCTGGTGTTCTGGTAGCCTTGCTTCTCATTAGGGAATGATGGGGATGATTTTTCTGGGAATATTGTTACTGGCTGTACTTGTGGCAGCGTGCTGACCACGGGCTGAGACCCTATACAAATGCAGAGTAAGAGGGTCTCTAGGGACCAAGCTGTTTATTCTGGATTGTAGCAAGAAAGAAATGCTGCTAATTTTATAGCAGCTGCTTCTCAGTGATATTTTGATTGTCAGGCTCTGATTGTGTGTGTGTGTGTGTAAAGCAGCGTGTTGTGGCCAAGCATTTTCTAGCCCTCCCGTAATTCCTGAGTCTGGTGTTAATAACAGGCTGAACTGGTTCAAGTAGGAAAGCTGGTGTGAGGGTATGTGAGTTGTAAGCAATGACCACACCACAAAATGCTGGAGAAAGTCCAATGTAGAATTGGGGGGATGCTGCTGCCACTCAAAGAAGGGTCCTGGCACATTGCCAAGGCTGGTGGGTTTTTTTTCTTCCAAAGCTTCAGCCTTTCCCCGCCCATCTGAACTCTCCAGAAAAGTTCCATGTTTCCTATCTCCTGCCATCTAAGGGCAAAATGTTGTTTGTACATGGAGAGCTAGATGAGAAGGCCAGAAAGATGGATTGCTCAGATGCAAGCCTCCAGGCCTTTTTTCCTTCCTGTTTAATGGAATATGGGACTTGATTTAAAGAAAAAAAAAAAAAGAAAAGAAAAAAAAAGAAGGCAAGAAACCAAACCCAACTTATATTAGAATGTTTGAAAGGGAAGATCATGGCAGATAAAGTTTGAGTGACTTCTTCATCTGATTTAGTGAGTGTCTTTTTTTATGGCTGAGACTTCCAGTGCTCGAATCCTTTTAAGACTGTAGAGTTGGGCCAAAGTCTGATGGGACTCTCCTCTTATGACCTAAATCAGTGACCCAAAGCATAATATTTTCTCTCGGACCATCTGTTTCCTCTTCTTGCCAAGGGGATTTCACAATGCCTGGTTGCTCTGAATAATTGTACGTGTGCAAGGATATGACTTGCCATGGGGAGAAAATTAACTGATCAAGGGCAGGTGGATGCTCTTGAATTTTCTGTTGAAACCCCTTTGGAAAGAGAGGGTGAAGAACCATGCAACTGAGTAATATTTTATGCCCACACTGAATTTTTTTTAAGCCTACATATTTTTAAAAACCCCCAAAACTACACTTAGGAACTATGTGGGGTAAACAGAGTAGATACCAAGTCAGCCTGTGTTTTGACCCTTTACTAAATGTCTCGGAGACCTGGTTTGGAGGAGTGTGGAAGCACAGGAGTACAGATGTTAGGTGACTAATTCATATTTCAGCTAAACTTCAATGACCATGAACACACGTCTGTTTCAACTTAGCTGTCCACCCAATGACCTGCCACAAGGTGCTCTTCTTTACCAACAGGGTGTTTTCTGGTTTTGACTTCAGATGTGTAAGCGGTGGCAGAAAGTACCCAGGGTCTGTGATCAGGGGATCAATGTTCAGGGCTTCTGACTCCAGCAGTAATTGCTTCTTGTAGCATTAGGGGGATTTCCAACGCAAACAACTCCTTTCTTTTAAATCTATCTTCACACAGGAGACTTGCTTTTTCTTGTTCATCTTATCTGTTCTTATCACCCAGCTCTCTGACTTGCTCACTTCCTGCTCTGTGTGTCCTTTTCTTGTCGTAATTAGAAAATTGAGGGGGGCAGACCAACAGTTCCTGATGAAGAAATGCCATTTATATAAAACTGGCTTGGTAAATTCTCAGTATTATTCTTCTGGCCCAATAATCTTACTGGAGCACCCTTATATGAAAGCAAATGGAGCAGAGGGCTTTGATTCATCATCCCAGTGTCCCTTTGTGGAGTAGATCCTGTACCATGGGTGCAGGATGGTTCCCGTTGCATCCTCCAGCCAGTTCTTCGCTTGCACAAAGCCCTGTCCCTGTGTCAGGTGCCCCTGCCCTGAGGAGGAGGAGTGATTTCTGTGTCGGGGCAGGGAAAAAAGAGATGGGTGGTGGTGACCAGGTGCTTTTCTTCAAGGAGATGTTGGTGTGTCCCTGTTTAGAAGGGTCTGGCTGGGCCCAGGTGATGGCTGGGATGCTGTCCCTGGATGCAGCCTTTGGCGTGGGTGGGTTGGTCTGTGTTTCCCAGCACGTGCTGCCGTGAGCTGTCCGGTCGGGCGTTGTGTTTGCTGGAGACCAGGCAGAGGCAAACGGTGGGGTGAGACCTGCTGTGCTTCAGAAGGCATTCATTGGATCTCCTGCTTGCGTCCCACCCCTGATACAGGCCTGGAAATACCATCCCAGGACACTGGGATGTTGAAGCGTGTCCAGAGAAGGGCAACGGAGCTGGGGAAGGGTCTGGAGCACAAGTGTGCTGAGTTCCCGGCTGAGGGAACTGGGGTTGTGGAGCCTGGAGAAAAGGAGGCTGAGGGGAGACCTTCTGGCTCTGTCCAAGTCCCTGAAAGGAGGGTGGAGAGAGGTGGGGTCAGTCTGTTCAACCAAGGAACAAGTGACAAAATGGCTTCAAGTTGTGCCAGGAGAGGCTTAGATAGGATATCAGGAAAAACTTCTTCACCAAAAGGGTTATCAAGCACTGGAACAGGCTGCCCAGGGAGGTGGTGGAGTCACCTTCCCTGGAGGGATTTAAAGGACATGTAGATGTGGTGCTTGGGGACATGCTTTAGTGGTGGATTTGGCAATGCCAGGTTTACAGTTGGACTAGATGATCGTAATGGTCTTCTCCAACCAAACTATTCTATGATTCTATGATCCTCCTCTTAGAAGTTGAAACCTTTCACGGCTGGACTCTTTCTTTTTCTTTCTTTCTTTCTGGGGTGTGTTTTTTTTATGCACAAAACCAGTTCAGTCTTTTATATTCTCCAGGAAAGTAAAGGTATTGATGTACTCATTTTCCTCTTCTCATAGAAACACTTTTAAGTACCGTATGATTAAATTAACTTGGAATGGAGAAGCGTAGCGTGGCAAAGGCTTTCCTTGAGGAGAAAATACAGCTTTAATAACTAGGAATCTGGCTTTTATTGGCTGGGAAAATTGAGAATGCAACACTGAGCATGCTCAGGTTTTTGCATTGAGCACCTCGATGTACTTAAGAGGCATCTGTTCTGTGGGTTTATGCGCTGTTAACTAACTGCAAACCTCTTTAACAGCTCCTCTCCACTGCTGGAAAATCCTGAGGCAGGACAGGGAAGGACTGCTGTCCTGCCTGATGACTGAGGTTGTAAATGGAGTGAGAAAGGCCCTTGAAGGGGAAGCCATCAAAGCTGACCTAGTGGGAAAAGAGAGCAGGGACAGGTTTCCTCTCGAAGCATGCCAAGAGAACCAGGCTTGGACGCAGATGGGGCTCTTTCCACTTTTGGGAAGGTGCAAAGTGATGGGCTGTGGAAGGAATGGCTCCAAAATCATTAATTAAAGATTGCCCTTCTGGTGCACCTTATGACCGAGTTACTGTTAAGAACAAGGTTTTGCCAGGGCTTGAGCTCACTTTGTGCAGATTTCTGATGTGGAGTCGATGCTTGGGAGGACTGTGAGTGAGAAAAAGCTGTGAAATATGTAGTTTACAGTGATTTAAAATGGCAAATTATATATATATATATATATATTTAAATGATGGGGGGATAGTAGATTTCCCTGTCCTCTCCTGCTCTTCCCCTGAAATCCAGTGAGTGAATGCACTGTAATTTTGCAATGGGAATCACTTCTGCCAGCCGTGAAGCAGAATGAAGCTTTAATTAGATGAGAAACTAGAAAATGCAATTGAACAAATAGGCTTTCAACGAAGGGAAAGAAAGTGGCGTTAAACATCCCAGTAGCTAAAGGTACTAGCTAAAGTACCTAGTAGCTAAAGCCCACTGGTAGCATCTGAATCCAGCCTTGTTCAGATAACTGAGCCAGATGATTTGTACGTGGAGAACTGCAGGAATCATAACACAAATGGGCTCATTAGATGGGTCTTCTTGAGCAACAGGGTAATTTGATTACTTGTTTGAGAAAGATGGGACATAAACAGGGTGTAGAGGGAAATCTGTTCTCTCTGGCCAGCCTCACTCAATGCATCTTTCCTTTTGTCTCTGCAGGTTGAGGACGTCTGGGACCTGTTTGGTGGAAGCGGCCATGTCGCGAGCAACTCGCCCACCCACCTTCCCAGTGAGCTTCCAACTCCTGAGCATCGCGCTGGTGTTGCTCATCCACACAGACAGCACACGTGCAGAGAGCCCCAGCGAGCTGCCTGTGAACGACACCGAGGAGTGCACTGGCTCATACATCTGCAAAAAGGGGGTGATTTTACCCATATGGGAACCCCAAGACCCTTCATTCGGTGACAAAATCGCTCGGGCAACGGTGTATTTTGTAGCAATGGTGTACATGTTCCTGGGAGTGTCTATCATAGCTGACCGCTTCATGTCCTCCATCGAGGTCATTACATCCCAAGAGCGGGAAATAACCATCAAGAAGCCCAACGGTGAGACTAGTAAAACCACAGTGAGGATCTGGAATGAGACCGTTTCCAACCTCACGCTGATGGCCTTGGGCTCATCTGCCCCCGAGATCCTCCTGTCTGTTATCGAAGTGTGTGGTCACGGCTTCACGGCGGGGGACCTGGGGCCAAGCACAATCGTGGGGAGTGCTGCATTTAACATGTTTGTCATCATTGCGATCTGTGTTTACGTTGTTCCAGATGGAGAGATAAGGAAGATCAAGCACTTGCGAGTTTTTTTTGTTACAGCGGCCTGGAGCATCTTTGCCTACACTTGGCTTTACATAATTTTATCTGTGTCTTCTCCTGGGATTGTGGAGGTTTGGGAAGGCTTGCTCACCTTCTTCTTCTTCCCCATCTGTGTGGTGTTTGCCTGGATAGCTGACAGGAGGCTTTTATTTTACAAGTACGTCTACAAGAAATACCGAGCTGGCAAGCAGAGAGGCATGATCATTGAGCATGAGGGTGACCGGCCCTCCTCCAAAGCTGACATTGAGATGGATGGAAAGGTTGCCAATTCTCACGTGGAGAACTTTCTGGATGGGACACTGGTGTTGGAGGTGGATGAGAAAGACCAAGATGATGAGGAAGCCAGGAGGGAAATGGCTCGGATCCTGAAGGAGCTGAAACAAAAGCACCCCGATAAGGAAGTTGAACAGCTTATAGAGTTGGCCAACTACCAGGTCCTGAGCCAGCAGCAGAAGAGCAGAGCCTTTTACCGCATTCAGGCCACTCGGCTCATGACGGGAGCTGGCAACATCTTGAAGAGACATGCTGCAGACCAGGCCCGCAAAGCTGTCAGCATGCATGAGGTCAACAGCGAGGTGGCAGAAAATGATCCCATCAGCAAGCTCTACTTTGAGCAGGGTACCTACCAGTGTCTAGAGAACTGTGGCACTGTTGCCCTGACCATCATTCGCCGGGGAGGGGACTTGACCAACACGGTGTACGTTGACTTCCGGACAGAGGATGGGACTGCCAATGCTGGCTCTGACTATGAGTTCACTGAAGGGACAGTGGTCTTCAAGCCTGGAGAGACCCAGAAGGAAATCCGTGTTGGCATAATCGATGATGACATATTTGAGGAGGATGAGAACTTCCTGGTCCATCTCAGCAATGTCCGTGTGAGCACTGAGGCCTCGGATGAGGGCATTCTCGAGACCAGTCGTGTCTCAACACTTGCCTGCCTGGGATCACCATCTACTGCCACCGTCACCATCTTTGACGATGACCACGCTGGCATCTTCACCTTCGAGGAGCCAGTAACACACGTCAGTGAAAGCGTGGGGACCATGGAGGTGAAAGTGTTGCGAACCTCTGGTGCACGAGGAAATGTTATTGTGCCCTACAAAACCATTGAAGGCTCAGCCAAAGGTGGAGGAGAGGACTTTGAAGACACTTGTGGGGAGCTGGAGTTCCAGAACGATGAGATAGTGTAAGTGAAGGTTTTATTTGTTACTCACAGTCTCTGGTTCTCCTGAAATTAGATGCACGTGACTCCCAGAGCTGCACTGGAGGTGTTTGGTGCACTGGAGGTGTTTGGGTGCCGGCGCGTTGCAGTAAGCCATGAATGTGCTTTGGGGAGCCTGAAATGCTGCGTTCCTGCCTTGCTAACAGACCAGAGAGCGATGCCTGCTCAGGGGCAGGGTTTGTGAGCCCAGCCTCCTGCACCTACCCGTGTGCTGAGCAGATCTCTGGAGCCTCAGCTCTTCAGTGGAGCGCAGAACAAAACCCAGATGGCTGTTTCTGCCTTGCAAAGGGTCTAAACTGAGTGGATGAATTGTGGTGCCTACTTCCTCTTGCCTGTTGAGGGTCAGGGCATCTGGGACTGGGCCACAGCCTGCTCCACTGGTGCTCTATTCAGGGCCTTGGTGAAGGTCACTTCACCTCCTCTTCTTCTTAAGGGTTGCAGGCCTGGGTCATTGTCCAGTGCTGCTTGCAACTAAAAAAAGAGGCTGAAAGCTGTTGGAGGTGACTCCTGAGTGTTGCTGGGTGGATGGTGGAAAAATTATTAGTGCTGTAGCCTTGTTTATTGCATTACATGGAGAATGTAAATTAACCCAGTAAATCATGGTAGAAAACATCTAGCCTTGGGTGTGTCATGAAGACATTTCCTTGCCCAGGTTGGGCTCTGGGAGGAGCAAGGCTTGGGAGTTGTGCTGTTCCAGCCTCAAGCTCTTCCTACCGTGATGTCTGTGTCTGTAGATCTGTCTCTGCCAGCTCTGTAGCACAAAAACCACTGCGTAGAACTTGGAGCAGTCTCTGATAAAGGGCACTGCTGTGTCGAGGGAGAGTTCCCCTGGGATGTGACATGTTTACGTGGCCAAACGCATGGCCTCAGGCTCTGCAACTGTGCTCAGAGGGGTTTGGGCTTCCCCCTTGTCTTGGATCCATCACGCTGGACAGGATCTCTGTGCTGTCCTTCCTCAAAGACAGGTATTGTCACCTGTGTCTGCGCTGCCTGTTGGTGCTCAGTCTGTGAGGTGGGGTTTTGCAGTGGGACTGTGATGACTTCTCCCCCGCTGTGCTGTGCCCGCTGCCTCTGTGGTGGCTTTTCCTCTGCTGGTGGCCTTTCCTCCACCACGCTGTTCACTGCTGGCTTTTGCCAACAGCCCAGGAACCCAGGGACATGCTGGAAACAGACTGACTGCATCCTGTTGGAGCTGCTGCCCGGCCATCCCTCCTGGGTTGCTGGTGTGCTGTCCCCGTGGCAACAGTCCTTCCTCTTCCTCTTATAGGATGTCAACATGTGCACTTAAAGCCAGAAACAAGGGAAAACAGCTTTCTGGGAGACCAAAGTGTGGTTTTTCTGTGCAGACACCAGGGTGTGGCCATCATACCTCTATTGCCTTTAGACTCTCTCCTCCTGGAATCACAGGGAGGAACAGTTCATGGGAAGCACCACTTCAAGAGTTGGCAGCTTGGTATAGGTGAGGGTTTGGGGAATGGGTTGGGAGGAGGTGACAACTGCAGGGCCAGATATTGACCCAGGAGCTTGCTCCACTCAGGTGGGAGAGGACGTGCACATACCATATTTTTCTGGGAGAAAGATGAAACTGATTGTACAAATAGCAATCAATTAACGTGCCTGGAAGGCAGTAGGTATTCATCTAAAACTCTAGCTGCTACAGTCCGTGTTCACGTGTTGGATGGTACAGTCTGACTTGCAGAGGATCTCCTGCAGGACCGTGTTTGCCTGGGCACACCTTTGGGAGAGCCCTGCAGCGCAAAGGCAGTGGGGTCCTGGGGCTGAGGTGCATCCCCCCTGGGAAGAATTTGCTTTAATGGGAATAAAGAAGATGTGCTGGTACAAGCTGGGGCTTCTAGAGCTAAAGCCTCTTTGCTATGTCATTGCTTGTTTGTGCTGTGCTTCAGCTCAAGCACTGCTATGTAGAATTCTTCGATTCCCCAGCACATTTAATTCAATAAAGTTCTAAAACTTTAGGTTTTCCCATGTTCTGATGGCTAAGAGATGGCTTTGCTGCCCTTTCTGAAGGTCTTTAGTGCCTCTTCAGCTCTGCCGCTCATTTATCAAGCAGCTTGATAAAATGGGGTAAGATGTGTTTTTCTGGGGCACTAACAAAACACGTAGGCATCGCAGAGGGACACGAGGATGGAAGAAAACTGTGTACAAGCTTCTATTATTAGAGGGCTGGCTGGTAAGTCCCAGTAAAATTAGAGAGTGCTGGGAGAGCCCTGATCTTCTGGAGACCTTCCTCCAGTTCCCAAAGGGACCAATTGTGTAACGTTGTTTGTTTGCAGTGTCCAGAGAGACTTTCCCATTTTGCAATCTGTTGATGTCCCCTTTGCAGGAGCACACAAAACAGCTGGAGCTGCTGAAGCCATGGCTGCTCCTGGGCATTTAAACAGAGATCTCATTCCGATGCTATCAAAAAAGATGTATAATGGGGAAGATGTTGGTCCTTCTGTGGCACATTTTATCTCAGCACTGCCTGGTAACCTCTTGGAGTGATGCTTTTCTGCTCCTTGCTGCTGCAGCACAGCTTCTGTGTTCAATGGGTGCATGTTGGTACGGGAAAGAAACCCTCTTGGAGTGATGCTTTTCTGCTCCTTGCTTCTGTGTTCAATGGGTGCATGTTGGTACAGGAAAGAAATGGCGTTTGAATGTGTTTTGCTGAAGGGTTAGCTGGGTTTGCACGGCAGGTTGGTCTGGCTGTGTGGGAAAGCTGAAGATCCCTGAGCTGGGTCTCGGCAATGTCAGTCTCAGTGATGCTGCACGGGTATCTGGGCCTCTGAGACATCTGTGTGCACTTTTGGGCACCACAGGATAAAAAGGATCTAA